GTCATATATGTTTGACTTTAAAAAGTTACTTTTTAAAATTACTCCCTCGATCTATTTTTGCCTGACCACTAATTATTTTGGGATGCCCAATAATATTTGTCCAATTTATAAAATTAATGAATATTTAGATGACTTATATTTAATAATGGTGATTTGATAAGATTATCCCTATTATTTACTGCTTATTAATTCATGTATCAAGTTAATAATGAATAATTATAATTGAGCAAAGAGAGTGTTTTTTTTAAGTCAATTCAAACCAGCTAGGAGCCATTTCGTATGAGGGTTACTTTATTTATATATTTTAGGGAAAATTAGATATTTCCTATTCTGAGACTCACCTCAAAAATACTTTTAAAAATACAAGTTTGAACCGGTACTGAGAAAATATCTCTTAAAGTAGCACTTATCTTTTTTTTTTTAAAAAAATCTGTCGTTTGGTTATAATTAAACATTGTTCTTATTCAGACACTATATTTTTATTTTATTTTTGTCTTTGATAGAAACAAAGCAACTAATATTTTCTTAAAATACTTTTTTAAACTTAGTTCAATTTTCATTTCTCTATTGGTTCAAACCGAACACTGGAAATTTGTTTTTTCTATATATAGATCCCCCAACTTAGCACTTGGTAGGAATCCTCTTGTAAGTTGTGAAAAAGATTATATACTCAAAATATTCTATTCCCTTCCGCCAAATAACAATATCTCAAAGAAAAAAAAAACAAACCAGATAGATGGCGGAGTCAGGCGGGCACCGGTCCTCCACGTCATCTTTCAGGTGGATCCAACTGAATTTTTCACTTCCGACGTCCTTTATGCGGTGGCCAAGGATGTTCACTTCGTACTTCACGCCGAATGGGAGTTCGAGAAGCCACGACGGCGTCGTTTCGGCCTCCTCCCCTCGGCGGTGGTCATGGCCGGGCCTTGACTTGCCTTTCAACATCGTTGATTCTATTGTCTGGTCTATCATCTCCGCCGTTGAATCTATTGCTCTCGTCTCTATGCTCTGTTTTTTCTTCCTTTTCTGTGGATGTACTATCTGAATTGCAAATTTCAAGTTTCTATTTATATCGAATGTAGTTATAGTTATCGAAGTTCGTACATCGGGATAGCCGGAAGATTAATCGGCCAGTGACCGGTTTTGGACATTCCGGCGAGTAGTTGATGACTTGGGGGAAAAGGCTGATATTGTATCAAGCACGTGAAGAGTGCCGTGATGTGAGCTGAGGGTAATTTTGTCAATTAGGTAAGAGTGCACTCAACTCATAGTGAATTTTACTATAAGGTCCTTTTTTTTTTTGTTCCCTTTATTTAGATGTTATTTTCTGTAAAACCTTCTGCTGCCCTTTTGTACACTAGTGTGTAGTTTTTGTTATTTATAACAGTTCCCGCTATCAAATTACACTATTTTGAAAGGTACAAATTTCATTACTCATTGAAAAAAATTCTACTTCATTTAACACGTGTAACTTTACTAATGTACGAAACTTCAAATTAATAATTAAAAAGAAGTCTGGGAAATTTGTCATTGAATTATGATTTATTACACAAAATACACAGTAGAAAGTGACACATTTCTATATTAGTCCTATCAAGAAAGTTATTTTCCTTTCATAATGAGAAAAGGGTGGGGGCAAGTAGTTGGAAATTTTGGTGAACTGTTACGTATAATAACCAGAAATGAAAAGATTTTATAGCCGTGTAAATAGTATTTCTTTCGTTTTATTTGTCATTTTATATTTAAGATAATAAAATTAAAAAAGCATTTTGATACATTTTACGTATCAAAAAAAGGTCATTCTCACAACGTGTTTCCATAAAATAGCAAAAAGGACAGAGTTGGACTATATCACTTAGTAAAGAATATTTAAATTTATTAGCGTGTTGACTGGGCTTAATTTATTTTTATTGTTTATTTCATCAAGAGACAATCAGACAAGTAAGGCACGACTAAATTTTACTTTGGGCCATTTTTGCTTCACAACTTATTTATGTCCAGGACTCAATTATGTGATAAGACTGCTCAAAATAAATTTGTACCACATATTTGGCTAATCTAATATACTAGCAAAAAATACTTTTATTTTCTTTTTTATGGCTAAACAATACAACCTTTTTATACTCTTGAATTGATTTCACATTTTTTCTCTTCTTCAAACCTCTCCGATTTCCCTAGTTTTATAGTTTGCTCGTAAAAAATCAGAGATATCAAACTCTACTAAAATTAATGTGTATATATATAGAGAGAGAGGGGACTAAGATAACTGATAGTAGGAAAAGAAAATAACTTGGAAAAAATAGTGAGTGGTCTTGAGATTATAATCGTAATTGTGCAAATTGAGGCCCTAAAAAAGGCAGCTAAGTTTCCTTAGTGGCAAAAACATTCCCCAAATTTCCAGAATTTTGCATGATGATATTCTCAATCATATCATCTTTTTCTTCCACTAACTCGGTGGGAAAAATATTGATAGAATATTTATTTGTAAAGATGATAGATAATATATGATTAATTCTGTTAAAGCCAGGTCTTATATATCAAATGATGATAATAAACTAACAAAAAATAAAGATTAAAGAATATAAACTTATAAGGAAGTCTTTAGTCTTAGTGAGTGAATTTGTTGGTCAAATGTAAATGTAACCATATCTGCTTTTTACATTTTTTTCTCATTTTATTTTCCAACTCGAAAATGTTTTATCTTTGGATATTTTTCTCTCTGTATATACTATAAATATTTGTTATGCATTTACCTATCATTTATAATGACAATTCGAGATTTGAGTTCTCAGCGATTTCAAATTTTAAAAAATGTTATTATATATGCCAAAGAGGAATCGAAGGTAGGGGTGTGCATGTCTATTCGGTTTTATGTGTTATCGGTTTCTAAATACGTTAAATTAATAAGAAATTTTTTATCGATTTTTGGTTTATCAGTTTTGGTCCTTAACAGTTCAATTTTTGGTTTGACCAATAAGAAAATACTTATAAACAAATATATGACTTCTCTAATAAATTTGACGCGACAACATAACTTTAGAAATCCTCATAAAATAGAAACAATAATAACAAACATGAAAAAAACTATACAAGTGTAACACAAAGAGAAATTAAGAGGAATAGGGTTCTTACTTTAGGTTTTGACGTTTTGTATAATGTGAAGTTGTGAATTCAAAGTCAGTGTGAAGTGTGAATTGAAGGCTAAAAGTAACTAGTAAGGTATTAAGATTAATATTTAATATTCATGTCCAAGACTCCAAGTAAAAGTAGTAAATTACTAGTCTTAATGGGTTATCGTTTACCCAATAACCCAGTATTACAAACCAATACCGAACTGATAACCCGATCTTTTTTTTATTTATAAAGGACAAATTACTTAACTACACTCCTTTATTTACCTTAATATCCATTTATCCATACTTATTTCAAAAATTTCAAAAATCCCTTATTTACCTATGTATCCCGTGCACAACGCTATGTATCCCGCTATGTGGAATGTATCAAACACTATGTATCCCGTGCACAACACTATGTATTCCACATGTATCCCATGCACAATGCTATGTATCCCACTATGTGAAATGTATCAAACCTAATGTATCCCGTGCACAACGCTATATATCCCGCTATGTGGAATGTATCAAACCTAATGTATCCCGTGCACAATGCTATGTATCCCGCAAACATCATTTTTAAGGGATTTTTGGTAAATAGAAAACTAGAAGGGATATGATGTTATTTAATACTTATAATATGTGGTTCCTATAATTTATACATTTATAAAACTATTAAAAACCGTTAGCCCAATAACTCAATAACAATAAAATAATAACATCTTTTTTTCACTTCGATTTATCGGTCAATTTAGTTTTTGCACACCCCAATCAAAGGGTTACTAATTAAGCAAGTTTCATTCAACCGTGAACCAAGAGATCACTTTATTACAAAGTTCTAAATAAAAATCGCTTATATATTTAATAGATTTCTCAATATGTTAAAAAATTACTGAAATTCGGGGAACGCGCACCCCACACCCTAAATCTGTTCAATGGCTACTGTTTGGTATCCCTTGTATGTGTTCACTCAAATTTGTTGTATGAATACAATCACAATAGTTGCATAAGTTCATTCAAATTTGTTGTATGAATACAATCACAATAGTTATATACGTTCACTCAAATTTGTTGTATCAATACATCTATTCACTTTGTGATACAATTACGATAGTTTGTATATCCACGTTTAATAGATTGTATCAGCGCATACATGCCATGTTGGATACATAGAAATATTGGAATAATTATATATACGTATATATAACATACATTCGTCCACCTTTCAATATACACACTGAAGTTTATCAATTTAGTCCAAGATGCATTTCAATAGATTATCCAATATATTGTTGGGCCATGGAGCCCATAGAGATTAACTTGCCATCATATTTTTTGTTGCAGGAAAGCGGATTCTTTTAGAGCAAATTTTAGGAATAACAAATATAAATATCATATGGAGTTTTATAGCTACAGTTTTGCTATTTACATTGTTTGCTATGGAATATTTGATTTGTATAAATCACAGGCATTTGATTTGTATAAATCTCACTCGCCACTCTCACTTTATACAAACACAATTTATACATTTGTGTTTGTATAAAGTGAGAGAGGCAAGCCAAAGAGTGGCGAGCAAATTTCAGAGAGTGGTGAGCGAGATTTCAGAGAGTGGCAAGTGAGATTTATATAGGTAAATCAGATGCCTGCGATTTATACAAATCAGATGCTATGGAGCGCAAATAGCAAAACTATAGCTATAGAATGCTAATATGATTATTATGTTTGTTATTCCTGAAATTTGCTCTTATATTTATTTATTTTATTATTGAAGTAATTCAGAAAAAATGTGTTAATACATTTTGGGAAGTGCAAGTGGCCAAAGTGCTAAAGTTAGGACCAAATCATGTATATTATATATAAATTAGGGATTATATTTATCAAAGGTTATACATAAAGGATCAAAATAAAACAAACCCAATACATTAGGAACTATTTTGATCATTTTCTCATCTTTGCGTAATTGTGTGAGGGTTTTGTTCAGAATCGTCAGGAAGTAGCCGGAGAAGCTCTCAATCCACAGGAAGCTCAACAATGGCGTGGAGGCAAATTCTATTTTCCAACAGAAGATTACTTTCAGTACCTTCAAACTCTGTGACATCTGGGTTCGCTAGCTTTTCCTCTAAATCCAATCCTTATATAGGTAATTTCAATTTCAATTTTGAAATTTGATAAAGAATTGATTTTTTTGAAACCCATAATTTTGGAATGATAAGAAAGTTGGTGGGTGCAGTGAAGGTGGGGATTCCAGAGTTTTTGAATGGAGTAGGGAAGGGGGTAGAGACGCACGTTGAGAAGCTTGAATCGGAGATTGGAGATTTCTCGAAGCTTCTTGTTACTCGCACTCTTAAGCTCAAGAAACTTGGCATCCCTTGTAAACATGTTAGTATTTATCTCCTTTCCTTTTAATTTGTTTCATTTTTGTCCAATATTTCTTCTGAAAAAGTTACTGCTTTCCAGCGTTGAAGTAATTCTTCAAAACCAAAGGGATTAGATCTGTGTGGGTGTTTCCTCTGTCAAGATGATAAAACACATATTCGATGGTTAATTGTAGGTAGTGTCTAGTTACACCATTGTACGAAAATCTCAATAGATGTGATGATGAATAATGTTAAGAATCATTGGTTAAGGCTTTGAAAGAGTTGCTACTGGGAGCATTTTTATTTTTCCATTCGTTTTTGGCATTTGATATTATGAGCTCTATGCTTGTTAAAGTGTAAATTGTTAAGCTAGTGGGGATTGTCTAGCTTTGAAATCGCATATGCATTGCAGTAGGTGGAAAATCTTACAATCCGACACGATTATATAGAATAAAGACATCCAGTTGTCAGCACTAACAAGAGAAACAAAAGTGCTTCAAAGATATATCTGAGACAAAAAGCCTCCCGGTGACCTATAGGAACAGGCTTTCCTACCCCTTTAAATGCTTTCCTAACGAAATGCCTTGATTGGTTCATGAAGCATACCTTTAATCTCCCATTCTCAACGTCGAGAAACTTTAATAACTATATCATGCCAGAAAAAGGGGAGTCAGGTGGTTAAACCTATACCCCAAAATCTATATTTCAATAGCATCCATATGAGCGCTAAAATACCTACTTCCAATACTCCATCTTCTGAATTTCCATACTAGAAGCACCTTTCTTTCTGTGCCTGACATCATACTATGGGTATGCTCCACAGCACATATCATAATCTGTATGCAAAAAGACAGTGAAGTAGTAACTGATTGTCATCCTCTCCTGCTTTCTTGCACCTTAAGCACCATATAATGTGGATTATCCTCCTCCTTAAGCTTTACATTGTTTAGACGGAACCCCCTGCTGCTGTTCAGATAAAAGAGGAAATTGTCCTTGGTGCTCCTAGGATCCATATTGAGAAGGAAACTGCCTGCACTCCCTTTCCGACAATCTGCTGTAAGAAGATTTCCAATGTGAAAATGCCAGTCTTCTGCTCTCTGCATATCCACTGTATCTCTCTAATTATGAGATATCACATTCAAAGCATCTTTGCGATGAAATCACGTATATATAGATTAGTGTAATGAATCTGGGCCAAAAGTTTCACTTTTGGTAGCGTCAATAGGCCTACATTTTTCTTTATCTAGAAAAGACCTACATTCTTTTGCCAGTCTGAAGAAAGAGATAGTACTGAAGTCCTTTTCATCTAGAAAATAATGGATACTTTTAAATGTCTATCAAAGATGTTTTATGATTAGATTGTTGGTTAAAAGAATGCATTCAAGATTACGAAGTATGATCAACGTTAGGACCCAGTAAGCACATTCATTTTTGGTTCGTAAGTTATTGCATCCAAATGTTAATCGGCATAAAAATTATTTTTATGCTTTAAAATCTATGATCTGATTTAGTGGGTAACTAAGCTCGAGTGAAAAATCTTTATCAATAGGGGGAAGACTAACTTTGATTAATTTTGTGCTTGATGCACTTCCAACATATATGATGTCATTATTTCCTATCCCACCGGGAATCATCAATAGGTTGGATAGCATCAGGAGAAAAAATTTATGGCAACGGAACAAGGAAAGGAGAGGATATCACTTAGTCAAATGGAAAACTGTGATCACCGAAAAGAGAGTTGGGGGTCTGGGGATCAAGAACATGAAGAACCAGAGTAAAGCTTTGAGGATGAAGTGGCTTTGGAAGTACTCAAATGATAATCAGAATCTGTGGGGCTCAGTCATAAAGGCAAAATATGAAGAGAGTGATAGTTGGATGACAAAGGAGGTTACCACCCCTTATGGTGTTAGCTTATGGAAATCCATTAGAGAACTTTGGAATGAATTCAAACCTAACACCAAGATCAAAGTGGTAGATGGCATAAAAACTAGGTTTTGGAAGGATGATTGGCATGCAGAAGGAAATATGGAGACTCTCTTCCCTGACATCCACAATTTAGTTCTTTAGCAACAAAGTACTATAGCTGACTTATGGACTCCTCAAGGGTGGAATTTTGTATTTAGAAGACACCTCAATGACTGGGAAATTCCAAGAGTAACAGAATTTTTTAGAAGCATTGATCAATTTAGTGGTCTGGAAATGGGGAGAGACAGATTGCAGTGGTTGGGAAACAGTAAAGGGATTTTTAAAGTAGGTGCAGTGTACAAGAAGTTGAATCATCCAAATCTGCAGCTACTCAAGTGGCCCTGGAAACATATATGGAACCAAGATCCCCTACAAGGTGTCTTGCTTTGTGTGGTTATTGGCTAAAGAAGCAGTATTGACACAGGAGAATTTAATGAAGAGGGGAATTACACTTTGCTCTAGATGTTTTTTCTGTGGGAAAACTGCAGAAACAGTCAATCATTTGTTTATCCAATGCGAAGTCACTGGCCAGTTGTGGAATTTGTTCCTGAGACATAAAAGCATCTCATGGTCCATGCTTGGGAGAATTTCAGAGGCTCTATTTAGCTGGGAAGAAGCAGGGACACAAGCAAAAAATAGAAGTAACTGGAGAATTGTCCCTGCCACTATTTGGTGGACAATATGGAAAGAGAGGAACCTTAGAGTTTTTGAGAATAGGGAGAGTAGTATGCAACAAGTTAAACTGAATTGCATTTCGACTCTGTGTTTTTGGTGTAATCAAATTTACTCTAATGATACCGTCTCTATCATTGATGTCTTAGACTCATTATAGGGATAGGTCGGTATTTTAGAGTTTCCTTATGTAAATACGGTTTCAGTACAACCTATGTACTGTTCTGCAGAAATAGAAACAATTACCATTTTCAAAAAAAAAAAAAACTCGAGTGAAAAATATCTCCATGGAGAAGTTTGGTCCCTCATAACTTTACCTGAAAAACATTTCGTAGTTGACTGTCCATCATAGCCGAGTATGAGATATTACGGGGGAAGGGCATAAGTTGTGTTAGTGGTGTGCTTAAAGCCTTAAACATGTATTTTAAATGATGTAATGTGATTAAAGATGATGTCCGATGCAAGTTATCCTATTGAGGTGATCAATTAGTCTGTTTTGTGAAGTTTACCCTCCAATCTGCAAAGTTAATCTATGGGATCTCAGAGTATTATCATTATGCACAGAATGGATTAGAAATTATTGCGAGGACAGCTGAAATTGATTCCTAAATTTTTAAAAGCGCTAGGAAAACAGGTGGTAGTATATACTGTAAGATAGTGCGGGGGGAAGAAAAGCTGGGTTTTTTCTATTTACTTTTTACAATCTTGGGGTATTTTAAAACATTTGTACTTTCAAGTCGGTATAAAAAAGATGTCTACAATCATAGAGAATGAATAACAATTGATTACTTTTGGACTGTCCAACAACTGGAACGAGAAGTGTAGAAAAATTAGCTTTTTGGGTCTAATTGCCTCACATGAATATGAAGATTGAAAGGTAAATTCATAGCTTGGAGTGAATGTTGTGTCTTTTAAGGAATAACATTAACTATGACAACAAAGCCACACCAGGACTCTTGATTGATAATACCAGAGATTTTTCAGACTTAGCAATATTGCGCTGAGACCAAAACCCAATAAGCTGCAATCAAAGTGAAAATTTTGCTGATTGGATCAAGTCTGCTATTTCCCGGTGACTAATAACACTTTCTAGTCTTTAGTACAGTAATCTTTTTGTTTGAGGATCGATGTGAACAGTTCCAAAGTCTTTACCAAAGTGTAACTCGAGAAAATGATTGGACAAGTGCATAGAAGTTAGAACTAGTTTCTATATGCAATTTTAAAAAAATGAGGAGAATAGTGCAAGCATAGTTGTATGTTTTTCTATCATTTTGATAAGTAGCACGCCTTAGTCTCATCATGCCACTGTTGTTTGAATTACAAACATCAATTCTTTGTGCTGTGTTTTTGCTTGCATCCGTAAGCCTCTTTTGACTCTTTGCTTTTGGTGTTTGCAGAGGAAGCTGATACTGAAGTACACTCACAAATATAGGCTGGGACTTTGGAGGCCCAGAGCTGAACCTGTGAAAGCTTAATTAATTCATTTTGTTGGTAGTATTTCTCATGAAGAAAAACTTTCTGCTATGATGCTCATGTTTTGTACTTGGATGGATGTTTCATAGGGGGTAGCCAACTGCATCAGGGTTTTTTTCCCCCTGTTTGGAATTGTCTTTTGATCAATAGAGTGAGAATTAGGCATTTGCATTGTATGAATACATCAAATAACTAATGCCCTCTTTATTTTCCTTCTATTGAGTATAAATTGATTAGTGCATCCATACCATATTATCATTTTTTTATATGTAAGCTCGATATGTAAAGGTTAGCTTTAGAATAAAAGTAAACCATATTCAGAACTACTGCAAAAATTGAAGATTTCTCTTAAATGGTGTTTGACTGAACTTTTTTCTGTTGGAAAATCTTTTCATCTGCTATAGAAACAAACACTTTGGGTTTTATAATGTTTGACCTCAGAGTCGAATCACATAGAAGAAAGGTGCTATACATAAATGAAGGGCTAACATAACCAAAACATTAGGAAGGTGCACATCTCAAATCAAGATACGGTAGTTGCGTTCCACAAGTGAACCTCTGCCATGGCCCCTGTACATCACCAAAGTCATGTCTGGCTCCCAGGGGCATGAAATCAGAGTATCTTTTTCTAGCTACTTAAGAGCACCTACAAATATCAGGAACCCTTGACAAAATCCATACTAATTGTTACATTTCTGTACAACAAGCAGACACTATTAGCCAAAATATTCAAAATGATTTTACTTGTTTGAGTCAGTTCCTCAGTTAATTCCAAATCCACAAACCTTGATCTGCATTGATGCAAGAATTGAGCTGTTAGTAAATCATCAGACCTGCTCCTCTTGTGCTGATATCATTGTTTTCCCTCGAATCATTTCACCTTGCTGTCTTTTTTGGGCCGGGGGAAGATTCGAGGATAAGATAACACACTTGTGAGTTACACTTTAAATCTACCAGCAAGACTTCGTAAAGGCACTTTAATCTGAAAAATAATATGTACAGTAAAATGATTGAGCGCGCCTCCTTCTTGTTGAAAGTGACAAGTAACCCTAGGTTAGCATTCTTGACTTGCAGTAAAGCAGTTGGTTGTTGCATGGTAAAGTTCCTGTGTGTATATGAAGGAAAACAAAGGAAGGTAATGTCATGTTTCAGTAGTTCTTTAAGAGCCTAATAAACCATGCATCTCTTAAGACATTTGTGGAAGCTCATTTCTATTTCAAGATACAAACACACGACCAACATTTTTGTACAGAAGATGGTACGGGGATTGGAATCCCCAGTTACTCCCTCTAAAACTGTTTGAGATGCCACATCATAAATCAGTCGAACAGAAAAGTTAAAAAGAAGTTGTATGTGAACCTACCACTGAATTTAAAGGCGACATACATACTGGTGTCATACACGAGAGCCCAAAACACCTGTAACATAAGAAACATAATCATGATTCACTTCATTGAGAGTAAAATCCATATAAGGGACCATAACAGAAAAGTAAACTAGATTGTACATTTGACAAGTCACTGTGCAACAGTATTTTGATTTTCCCCATCAATGTTGAGCTAAGTTCGTAGTAACTCCTCAGACAGTGTCTATGGATTTTTCCCCCATATTGATAGCAAATGTGCTTAGAATTTTATCTTCCTTGTTTTGAAATTTTCTTCCGTTGTTTGTTATATAAACACACATGTATTTCCACAAAGGAAAGGATATTAGTTTTGCTAAAGCAGACAAAGTTTAACAAGTTTTTAACAGATGATGACCACTCTCAAGGAAGTTTAGCTCCAAATCATGCATTTTTTTTTTAAAATTCTAATTCATTTGTACGTATATTGTAAACTGTGCTCAAGAAAGCTGTAAATAGTACATCTTCAAAATATATATCATATGCCATGCTTCATTAAGCACAACTTAGTCGTCACCTTTTGATGCCTAACTGGAAAATCAGAAACAACTTATTTAATGGCATCAACATACATGCAGCTACAATTGAAACACTAGAAGTAAGCCAATTCAACCAGCTTAAGATTTTCATGCATCAAGGAAAGTGAAGAAAACAAGTTTCAGTAAGCTTCTGACATTATATGATTCAACCAGAGGAAGAGGAAATCTTAAGCTTGCAAATCAAGAGGTTTTGGCTCTTAATAATGACAGACTCAAATTGACTTCATGCATTTAGCTAATGAGATCTTCGGAGCATTTTGAATAAGCAAGGACATATAGTTTAGTATAAAGGCAACTGCTGCTATCTGGAATTTTGATCTCTCCCTTTCTTCTTATTTGTTAAATCTCTTTTGAAACTCATCATGCTTTTTCTGGGTGTCCATTACCATTTCATATTCATATCGACAGTTCTCATAAGGAATGTTGAACAAGAATAGTGAAAAACAGAAGGAATGTTAATCATCGAAGCTTGATTGAGTTGCTCCAAATTCAATTAACTGTGCCTTTAATCACACAGTATATATGTTTGAATTCTATATTCCTGCAAGAACTGAAGACTGAAGTATTGGAGCAAAAGCTGTGATATTCATTTTCCTCGGTCATTTCAGTAGCTACAGGAAAGCTAAGATATATCTTCAAACTAGCGGAATTGAAAACAAAAGAAATGAACTTATACTGCTGATGAATTAAAGTTGTCACCAATAAAACAACATATTTGGTTTAGAAGCCAAAAAGAAGAATATTCAAAAGATCTCCATGATAACAAATTTTATGAAGAAGTTCATACTGTCAATACTGCTGACGAAATAAAAGTTCAGATATCCTAGGATATGAAGCGTACCTTGAAATATAATAATCAAGAAGAACAGAATTGTGATCACCGTTGCTAATATATTCATCCTCGAAGATGATCCGCTCTCCTTTTTAATTTTCTTCAGTGCGTTCATTCTTTCGGTCCTTCTACGCTTCCATATAGCAAGCTCAGATATTTCCTTGACGAACTTTGCATCAGAGGCATCCAGTGATGGACCCTTTGGGGGTCTAGGTGGTTTAGGAGGCTTTGGCTTCCTTGTCTTCTCGATATTCATTTTCTTGTCCCCCAAATTTTCCATCTCTTCCTTCACTTTGTTTGACCAAATTTCTGTACGCCTAACAGATGATAGCTCATCAGCACTTAAAATCTTGTTATATGTACTTGAACCATCTTGGTTCCTTACAGACCCATTGCATGATTGAACTCCACGAAACCCACTACCCGCTTTATAAGACTCTTTATTAGAAATTTCACCGGTCAGATCATAGTTATAACTGCCATCTTCATCACTAGTTGTTCCCCCACTCTCTAAATCTACCTCGAAATCACTTTCTCTTGACTGTATATGATCCATAGCTAACCCAAAGTGTTTGTTGTCTACCTCTCTCCAACTCCTTTAGCTGATAACAAAGACATAAATTAGAAACGAAGTTACTAAAAAGCTAAGCCATTGTACAACACATTTGTTCGTGTTTTGTCACATCAAAGACACTTGCAGCCATCCACCAACTAAAGACAAAGGAAAATCTAATCTGTTTTTTCATAAAACAAAAGACACCAAAACAATCAAATGAACACTTCCTTCTTTTCCACTTTAAAAATCTATTTACTTGAGCTAAAAAGACTCCAAATTTAGACTAATAAACAACATTATCCTACAACCTAAAAAAAGATACCGCCTTTTACTCACGTTCCACATGGATCTTGAAGAAACGCCATCATCAAGCACTCAATATTGTGTAGCTTTTTAAAAGTAAGACACAAAACACACATATATACAACAACATTCACAGTATAGTTCCACAAGTGGGGTCTGGCAAGGGCAGGTAGAGAGGTTGTTTTTGACAAACCCTCGACGCAAGGAAATCACAAACACACATATATACTATAACAGTACATATTAACAATAATTAATTTAGAAAATTGCCAAAGCCAAGACAATCTCAATCACATGGAAGATTCGTTTCACCAACACAGACTACAGACATGGAAAATGACAAATCAAAAAATTTGAAAATAAGAGTGGTCCCTTTGCAGCTAGGAATGAATAAAGCAAATTATACAAGAAAGGATAGTATAAATACACAAAATTCTCTTTTATCCAAACAAAAGGAAAGGAATTTAGTCACAATACCTAATAGGGTTTCCGATATAAAATTATTTTATATTTCAAATAATCCAAAGAAGTTAAATCCATTGTTCCACATTTTCTTCAAAAACAACATTTTAAAAAATAATAATAATAATCTCAAACAGGAATAAAACTACCAAAGAGGGGAAATATGAGAAAACTCGAAATGGGTATAAAAACATATGAATAAGAAAGAGATCAAACACATAAAGACACATTCTTGAAAAGAAGAAGATTTGTTATACGTACATAGAAGGTGACAACATGGGTAGGATTTGGCCATGGAAATGGTGAAGAGGAAGGGAACGAGGTCGTTTTGAAAGAGGAAAAACGTGAAGTTAGGTAGGCCAAGGTTTTGTTTACCTTTGTGCAATAATAGTCAAAGGAAGATTTGGAACATTCCCAACACTTGTAGATAATGTTAAACACCAATACCCATTTCTATGTGCGGTCTGTAGGACCGGACCCATTATTTCTCCGCTCTGCTTTAAAACCGTCCACTTTTCTTTTTCTTTTTATAGTCATTTTGACAAATTAAATGATTTACTTATTGTATCTTCAATTAAATGATTAATTATTTTTAAAAATATAGAACTTTTCATTCACTTCATAATTAATAGAGGTAAAATGGTAAACTCACTATGTCATTAATTATTTTTTTAATAGGGGTGTCAATTCAAAAGTGGACAAGTTATTAGGGACAGAGGGAGTAGTATTTATATATTTGAAAGGGGTAATGCTAAATGGCCAGAAAATTTTAAAAGTGTATAATATCTTTTTTATTTTAAAATAAACTGATCTTTTTTCCATATTTTAATCAAAAGGTATTAAAGTTAAAAGGATAAAAATGTTTTAAAAAGTAAAATAACATAAATAAAAAATCATTCTGACTAAATTTTCTTTTCCTATTTGAAAGTTATATATAAATTACTACCATTTCAAAACAATTTTCCAAAGATACTAATTTTTTTCATTCGAGTTTCTATAAGAATTTCAGAAAATTGGAAGGCGTGATTATAAAAATTATTATTATTTAATATTTAAAAGAAGTTGTATTGAAAAGCGAGTTATTGAGACGAGACGAGGGGGAGTTGCTCGGATGGTAAACATCCTTCACTTCCAACCCGAAGGTTGCAAGTTCGAGTCACCAAGGGAGCAAAAGAGGTGGGAGCTCCCCTAGGAGGGTTTAAAAAAAAAAAAAAAGTTATTGAGACGAATTAGACAAATATTATTTTCCTATGGAGAAGCTATGAGTTAAATAAAAAAGAATCCCAAATTTTATTCAAAGAAAAAAATACCCCTTACCATTATTTTTAAATGATAAAAGTGAATTACTCCTATTATTATATTTTAATAAATAAATACTAAAACGTAGTCATAACTCAAAATGTTGGAACAAATCATAAAATTTGTAGTAACACCTAAAAATGCAATATGGGAAGGAGGAACCAGAAAAGCCCAGCCCAGTCCTACGGTTGGAAGGAGTCTGGATTGGGCCCAGAAAATCCTAACTACATCTTCTTTCCTGGCTTAGAATAGGAAAGAAGATTGAATTCAATCACGAAAACGATAACATGCATGATCATTTTCATTAAGAAACACCTTATTTCAACCATAAACGAATAAAGAGTTGCACTCTATTAATAAAATGATTTTTTTTCACAACTTTGTTGTAATTATAAGTAGTTTGTTTTCTATATATATTAAAAAAAAAAAAATATCAAACGAATATTTGTCACACACATTAGACAAGAATGCTTGAAGGATTTTTGGGAATTCATCCAAATACAACAATTGAACATAGGGAATTCCACTTTATGCCTAACGTAAATATGGTTGAGCTTAGGGGTGTGCACTATTCGGATTAAACCGAATAACCAAACCAAATCAAACCGAATTTTTATTTGGATTGGTTTTTTGGTTTTTCGGATTGGTTTTGGATTAATAAATTACTTTGTTTGGTTTTTTGGTTTGGTTTCGGATTTTAAGAAATAAAAACCGAAAAACCGAAAAAAACCGAATTGTTATATATATATATATATATATATATATATATATATATATATAATGTTTAGGTTTAGAATTAAGTTGGAGTTAACCACTTTTGTCCCTTTTTGGTTATTGTCTTTCATGATGATTACATTTATATTTTATGTTTGAATTACATCTATAATAGGTATACTTATAAGTATTGTGTTTTAAGTTTTACTTATGATTTATATTAGAAAGAATATTTAAGGGATTAAATATTATTACTTTGGTTATATATGTTATTAATTATTGACATAACCGAATAACCAAACCGAAAAAAGCCGAACCGAATAGAGGAAAACCAAACCAAACCAAATTTATTTTGGATCGGATTGGGTTACACTTTTACAAAACCAAAAACCGAAAATCCAAACCGAATAGTGTAAAACCAAACCGAAAAACCAAATGCACACCCCTTGAGCTTTCCAAAAAATTCATTAGCAGTCCACTTAATCCTTTTTCTAGGTTTCATTTTTTCAAGTCCTAATTTAATTTAATTCGTTTCAACTTCCAATAAAAGAGAATCTTTTAAAATCCTCCATCTTCCCATATTCGTGTTGGAATTTAGGGTCCACTCTTTTAAAATGAAAACCTTGATCCGTTATTAATTTAGGGTCTTTATACTTTTTTTTTTTTTTTGGTACTATGTAGTCACTAGTCACAATAAACAAAGTTACGTGACAAAACATATAACACAGATAATTAATAAAGGACTCGTAATTAGTCATACTTGATCAAGGACAGATAATAATAATAATAAAGAGCATACACACGATACTCATTATAACAAACGACACAGTTAGATGCAAAAGACACACTTAAAGTAAAACATCAAAAGCCTAATAGTAAAATATTTATGGTTCGATCAATCGAACATATAGCCGATCATCAACAATTCAATCTCAATTGCTTCAAGTAGAAGTTGAATTTTGTCGTTCGTATATAGGTAGTCAGTGTCACTCGTGACATTTTTTCCATCATAATTGGAGTACATTTCACTTACACGTGCGTTGGCAACTGCAGATTCAATTCCAGCATGCTTCAAAAAAACATCATTAGACCATTCGTTGGCTATGGCTGCTTTGTTAGTTACTGTTGTTTCAATTGTTCGTCCATCAAATTTTACGTACTACTTTGAAGTGGTGTGGTCTTCGAAGGTCGTCATATTGCTCGAGGTGAAATAAAATTGTTGGGGCTAATGAAATTTAGAAGATGTCTTGCGTGATAATTTATAACTCACAAATAAAAATAAAAAGTAAAAGTGAAGAGAGAATACTAGTTTCTTTGAAAATTAGTGTACATTATGCGTTTAATTTATTTTTTGGGATGACACAAAAGTTTCTTAAGTACTTGATTTATTATCAGAAAGGAAAAATCCTTTTGTCAGAAAATTTGGTCAGAATGCTAAAATAACACATTTCACACTATGTTATTTTACCTTTTTGAACATTGTTACAATTTTAACTTTAATACCTTTTAATTGAAATATGGAAAAAAAAGATCAATTTATTTTAAAAATAAAAAGAATATTATAGACTTTTTAAATTTCTAGCCAAATTCAAGTCAAATTTTCTGGCCATTTAACATTGTCCAATCAGGAAATTGAATGGTTATTCACATATGCAAAACATTAAATAGAGGGTGATATTTTCAAGATTTAAACTGCTCTATTGATGTTTTTACATGTATCATTTTTAGAGTTAATATCTTAAAAAGTCACTCAACTTTGAAAATCTATCTAACAAAGTCATTAAACTTTATTTTGTACCACAAAAATCACTCAATAAAATTTATTTTCTTTAAAAGATTAACATATCAAAATATTTACCATATAAATATAGACTCCACAAATAAATAAATCAAATTCATAATTTAAAAATTCAAATGATTTTTTTTTTAAAAAAATCTTGATTTTGCTCAAACTGAAACTATGCCAGCTCTGTTCACTGCAACTAATGCTCTATTAATTAATGTTAATTTGATGATGTAATTCAATTTATCTACTTAATTTAGAAAGTTTATTTTTTTAGAAAAATTAATAATATTGGATGATATTTGATTAATTAATTTTGTTTTGCCGATGTTAATATGGCAACAATTATGTTTGGTCAAAGTTCAAAAAAATCCTTTCAAAAGAAAACTATTTTTTATGCTTTAAAATCAAGACCAAGAGACCCCTTAGTGATCAGACATAAAAATGGAGAATTTTATATTTGAATTATCAAATTATGAATTTGATTTTATTTATTTGTGGAGTTTATATATTTACATGATATAAAAGAAATTATTTTGTCATATAAACAAGATTTAATAATAAATTTAATTGAGTGATTTTATTGATATAAAATAAAATTTAGTGACTTTGCTAAATAAATTCTCAAAATTGAGTGAACTTTTATTAATTCATCATTTTTATAATTTGTTGGTATTAGTTGTATTTCGTTTCAACTTCCCAAGGAAGAGTTCCTCTATTGATTCCTCTGACTCTATCTATATAAATGTTGGGAAATAAAAAGTTGCTTGGTAAAGCAAGATTTTTCCTCTCAATTGGGCAGGGTCGATACAAAAATGGAATATTACCTAAATACATAGATTTATTTTATCATATTATATATAAAAATTTAACATTTGAAAAAATTATAGAAATTTCAAATATTTTTTAACTCTTGGATACATCACTTATGTGAGACATACGCTATATTGAAACATTGAGTGGTATATTTGAAATTGAGATGAGATATATCAGTCGGATACATTACTTTACATGATGTATCGGTACGTACGCGATTTATTGGGACGTTGAGTGATGTACTTGAAATCGAGACGCAACGTATGGAAATGTTGAGCGATGTATTTGAAATCAGAACGTAGGAATGTACATGACCGGGTTGGTTTGGGTTTTTCAAATATCAAATCAAATCATTTGTGTTGAATTTTTCAATTTATAAACCAAACCAAACTAATAAAATTTGGGGTTTTTTGGGTTGGTTTAAGTTTTTCAAATAACAAATTAAACCAAATCATTTGTACCGAATTTTTAAATTTATAAATCAAACCAAACTAATAAACCTTAGATTTTTTATTTTTTCCGGTAAAGTTTTCATACAAACATATAATTAACTTGTACTCAAAATATTTCTTTAGTCCAACCAAAATATAACTATCTAAGGTGTTTCTTAAGCAAATAATTAACACAAAATATAAGATGAGTGATTACACTAAAATATTCAACAAAAATAGTAATGAAATCGTATAAAATAAATATTGCAAATTAATAAGTCATAATGAAACTGATCATCATTTAAAAGTACTAAATCATGCTTAAAATAAGTCTAATAATAAGTATTAATTACATGATTAAACATTAAAGAAAAATTACAATTAGGTTATGTATTTTAAATGTCTAAATCAATGTAAAACTAAAATACAAATATTCATCATATATCATTGTAATTCTTAGTGTTGAATAATTTTTTTTTTTGTTAACATTAATATTGATTTGATTTTGAATAGAGCTTTATCAGATTTACTAATTTCTATGGAGAACTTTTATTGAACCATTCAAAATTTTAAGTTTCAAAAAATTTGAAGAATCTGTTAAAAGATAAAAATATGAAAGAGTATAAGTAATATTTAGAAATTATATCAAAGTAAGTACTTTTATGTATAAAATAATTTTTAAAAATTATATATATAATGTCGGGTTAGTTTGTTCTTGAATCAACTTTTTTTAGTTAAAACCAACCCAACCCAAGTATAATCGCATGTTTTTCCAATACTAAATCAAGTCAAACCAAACCATTATTCGAGTTTTTTTTTTGGTTTGACTCGATTTACGGTTTGGTTCGGTTTTATACATCCTGCTGAAACGCGATACAGGGACATTTTGGGAAGTATCCGGATTCCACCAAATTTAAATTTGTTTTATAATTTAACAAAAAGTAGAGATAAAATGTAATTAACTTTTAACAGTAAGAAATTTGTGTAAAAAAATTTCCAAAAAAAAAAAAATACACATCCCAATGCGACTTGTTTTTTTTTTCAATATTATTCAGTTCTGTTACTCTGTTCATTCATAATTAATCAAGGCTATATACATGACCGATCGAAAGAAAATAAAAGGAAAACAGGATTATGACCTTTTTCATGGTTTAATGCCAAATTCTTTTTAAACAGTGACTTGACGAAGTTAATAAATTTAATTTGTATTGAAAAGTATTTTTTGTCAAATGAAATTTGCCAGAAAATGTAATTAATTCAAATTGTTACAGCTAGATAGTTTTCAGATAATTTTGTGTTAAATTACATTATTTTATGATTAGTACCTAGTCCCTTTGTTTCAAAGAGAAATTATACAAAATATTTCATTGTAATATAATTTAACAATCAATTTGGAATATAATTTACACAGTTTAATTAATAAATATCTGAGATGTCATATATACTATATTAACTTTAAACTAGATATACTTTTAAATTTAAGTATTTAGCAAATGAAAAAAGAATCATTCTACCTATAGGAAGTAAGAGCGGATACGGTTTTTTTATAAGAATTGAGAACAATATAAAGTAAACATGTTATTCGCCATAAATAATTGTCATAGAATGAAAAGATATATACTACAACTGTTCAAAACAGGAAATTTTTTAAAATGTAATAATTTGTTTATTTGATATGATGTATATAGATATGGTAACTTCAATTGACATGTATGGTAACTGGTCAGCGCAAAATCATATTAAAAACACAGTACGAAAAAGATTCAACTTCGACAAAGAGAAATTTAGATTCAAACGAGAAATACTCTCCTTAATAAAACATTAACAAGGAAACTACGATATTATTATTCCAGACGTCGCTGAAATAAACAAAAGATTGAAACTTGAAAACATACTAGGAAATTAAAAAAAGACATAATATAGCACCACTTAAAACAGCTTCAATTTTCCATAAGAAGCTTGTGTCCAATCTTGTAGGAAGCATAAGCATCAATACAAGCATATTCAACTTGTGCCTCACTAAGAACACTTGCCTCCCAATTGCTTTGACAAACATGTTTTGGCTTAGGCATATAAAGACCACAAATTTCATTAGCAAGATCCTTCAATCCTGGACGTGAAAATCGACCAGGCCATTTATTCTTAGCAACATCACGAATATCAGCCTGACTAGTACAAACCAAACCATACTCATTTTTCAGTTTAAGGATATCCTCAGCAACCTCAACACCAACAAATGTGAAATTAGGATTACCCAAAAAATTCTTAAGAGTTTGTGGGATTTCGTCCAAATAAAACAATTGGACTATGAGACACGTGTTGTCGATGCAGAGTTGGAGTGTGGCTGATTTGTTGCTAGTGTATGGACTAAAAGTGGGCTTCCATTCATTGTCTAAGCCCACAACTGTTTGCCTTCCAGAATACTTGGAGAGCATTGCATTGGCCCATTCATTGGCAACAGCAGCTTTGTTTGTCACATTTGTTTCAATTGTTTGTCCATCAAATTTAATGTAGTACTTTGAAGTGGTGCCAGTGCTAGAGCTGCCATATGATGAATACATGTTTGTTATGATGCTGTTGTTAAAATAAAACTAGGATTGATGGATTTTGTTAGATGGCTTGTATGACTATTTATAGTGGTCAAAAATTCATTAGTCTATTTTGGAAAACTCAAAAGTTTTTATTTCTTGTTCATTAATTCAACTTCATGTTCAAGAAAATTAATAGTACGTAAATGGTTAACTAGATACATGCGAAAAGTAAATATGAATGACTGATGAGTTTCTGAATACTTAGTAGTCGATTGATCCGCCGAGGCTATTTGAGAGTCTCAATCATACTCCCTCCGTCCCATTTTATATGTTATCTCTTTCTATAAATAGTTGGACCACAATACTTGTCATTTTATAAAATTTATGCGTAAATTACCATATTTTACCTATTTTACCCTTGATAGAATATTTAATTAATTCTATCATTTATTAATAAAGTTGACTTTACAAAACATTAAATAAGGGTAGAAGGTAAAATTACATCATTTCTTAATGGAAGTGCAAAGTAAAAATGTGACATATAAAATGGGACGGAGGGAGTATATATTAATACAAAAAACACATTACTATATGATTTTTAACAACGACCAAACTAAGATTTAATTATTTTCAACACTATTATCCTTAATTAATTCATCATAGCCATCTTGTAGATTGTAGCAGGTATAATGACGTAGCTAGGATATTATAAATAATAATTTTTCCAAGCCATAAAAATTAATCTCTCCGTCCAATAATAGTTGTCCATTATATTATTTTGATATGTCTAACGGTACTTAGCCACTTTATAAAATCAACGAATAATTTTACATGTAATTTCTAATTTATCCTTATGATTAATTATAGTCATTTCTCTATTGCATTTTTCAAAACATTGCATTTATCATATTCAAAAGATTTTTCATATATTTATAATTTCTTACAAAGTGTACAAAATCAATAATGGACAAGTATTGTTGGAAAGAAGAAGTACCTTAATTTAATAAACACCGCCAATTTTTAAACTATCAAGATTTTCTAAAAAGTCCTTGACTTGAAACAGTTTTTTCTTTCTTAATGATTAAATTAAAAAGAGAAAATATTAAACTAATTAAACACAATAAATATCATGGTAATGAAAGTTTCTAAAACAATATCAGTACATATTCGATCTTTTCGAATGGTTTTATTTGTCCACTATGATAAAAATAGATGTATAACTTTTCTTGTTCAAATTGAAAAATAAAAAAAATAATAGAACATTTAATTTAAAATTAAAATTAACAATAACGAAATTGCCATTCTATTTGATCCTTTTTGTGCTGCCCATAATCTATAATTTTAGCAAACCAATTTTATTTTGGGTTACAAACCTTAATTAAATTAATCTAGTAATATATGAGCAAAAAGATAAAAAGTCGTTCAACTAAAACGTCATCTTATTAAGATCATACGAAGATAATGGACTAACCTCCACTCCACACCCTTAAAAATTATGACACATTATTTCAATAAGTTATTAGATGAAAGTTTATTTAATTAACTAAAAGAGTTGAATCATAAAAACACAATTACCCTTTTTACCCCTTTCAAAATCATAGTTTCAATATCTTTTAATTGATTAAATAAAACTAACCCATTAGATAATGAATGACACATGTCATAATTATATTATGGGACCGAAGTAATAGAGGTCCTGGACAAAATCCTTCCAAATTAAATTAACTTGTACTGAAAATAAATAAAACATATAGTCCGAATATCATTCAACTTACCCACATTGAAATTTAGATACCAACACGTAACAAAACGCATGGCAATAAACTAATCACTGGAAAAAAAAAAAAACAGACAGAATATTTAAAACAATAAAAATACTTCAATTATCCATAAGTAGGTTGTGGCCAATCTTGTAGGAAGCATAAGCATCAATGCAAGCATATTCAACTTGGCTAACACTAAGTTCCCTTGCTTCCCAATTGCTCATGCTAACATGTTTTGGTTTAGGCATATTAAGACTACATATATCATAAGCAAGTTCCTTCAATCCTGGACGTGAATACCTACCAGGCCATTTATTCTTAGCAACATCACGAATATCAGCCTTACTAGTACAAACCAAACCATAATCATTTTTCAGTTTAAGGATGTCTTCACCAACTTCAACTCCAACAAAAGTGAAATTTGGATTAGCCAAAAATTTCTTGAGTGTTTGTGGGATTTCGTCCAAATAAAACAATTGGACTATAAGACACGTGTTGTCAATACAGAGTTGGAGAGTGGCTGATTTGTTATTAGTGTATGGACTAAAATTGGGCTTCCATTCATTGTCTAAGCCAACAACTGTTTGTTTTCCAGAATATTTGGAGAGCATTGAAGTAGCCCATTCATTGGCAACAACAGCTTTGTTTGTCACAGTTGTTTCAATTGTTTGACCACCAAAATTTATGTGGTACTTTGTAGTGGTGTCAGAGCTAGTGCTACTATATGATGAATACATTTGGAAATTTATACTATTGTTGTTGAAATGAAATTAGGATTGATTGATTGATTGATTTTGTTAGGTGTCTTGTATGATTATTTATAGTATGGAAAATTAATGTGTTTAATTAATTGGTTTTGAAAAACTCAGAAGTTTTAATGAATGGTTTACTAGATGCATGCCAGGGATGACTGATCAGCTTTTCAATATTTAGTTGTTAATTTTGTTTCAACTTCCTAGGAGAGAGTTTATCTTTTAAATCTTGATCCATTGTTTCCATAGTAGGTTGGAAAATGAAAATTCTGCTTTCTACACTTCTTAAGAAATTATAAATAGAAGGGTAATTTTATCACATAGTAACTCTTTGAATATAAAAAATACGATGTCTTGAAAAATGTAATGATAAGGGTAGATTAGGTACTAAGTGTAAAATTATCTATTAATTTCATAAATTGGACAAGTATTGTTAGACATACCAAAATAGTATAGTGAACAACTATTGTTGGACAAAGAGAGTATTATTACCTTTATCCTTCCTCTCGATTTATTTTTATCAATTTACGTATACTTGCTTTTCCAGTAGACTATACATCTATATATTTTCTTGGTAATATTCTTCATTATATCTTTCCTTAAAACACTGTTTTGTTTTTGAAAAAAAATATAAGTTTGAATTTAGCGCAAGATATCAACCTTTTTTGTCTTGTAATTGAAAAAATAGCTATTTTTATGAAATTTCAATTTTCACAAGTGAAATTCCATTACAATGACCTGAAGTTTTAACTGTAAAATTTGAAGTTTTATAGTAGTGATTACCTTTTTTTTAATTCACACATAAAAGTGGCTATTTGTGAACTATATCCAAGAAAACTAGTGCCCGGCCGAGGCCTTTGGGCCACAAATCTATATCTGTAAAAAGCCCATGTTTTAATTTGTATCGCGATAGAACTGTGATATACGCACCAACATATATAAAGAATAAACATAGTCTCGTTTAGCCTTATACGAGGAATCTATAATCTATGATATTTGGTGAAAAATTGTCTATGTTGTTACATTTCCTAGTTAGTGATAAATATAATTGAGCTTAATTATGAAGTTCTAATATTTAAATAGCATTCAAGCCAAAAGAAAGCAAATCGGAGTTTATCTTGAGAAATGAAAAAAACTACTAAAATCAACTAAAAACGTTAAAAGTTAAATTATTTCTATTATCCTTTTTATCCCAAAATAATTACATCAATTGAAATGGTGGGACTAATTTCTTTCCAATAAAAAGTTTAAATAAGCACAAGAGTTTTTTTAAAATAAAAATAAAAATAAATATTGCACATGCACATCAATTTGACACCCATGGTAGAGGACAAAATTGATAGGAAATGCTTTTAATAATCACAAAATGGGCAATGTGTTATTAAATGGAGTGAAAAATATAAATGTTTTTGTGGCAAGATTTATTGGGACACAAAGACATGAAATATATGATCCCTAGACTTGGGACAACATCTCCATTTCGATATATTTGTGGTCCAATAAGAGATCCAACAATTGTCAGTCTACACGTGGATGCCCTAGTGTGGATAATGACAACTCCAAAATAATTTTTCTTTTTTTAACTTTATACTAGTAGTAGTATAGTACTAATAAACATAGATGTATTTTTGTGAAACATATACTTACTATTATTATAAATATCCTGAGGAAGTGTGATTCGTATACCAGGGAAAAAACCAAAAGAGAAATCAGTTAACGTTGTGATACAAATCACGTTTATGAGTCACAGCCATTTATAGTTTATAGTAAAGTAGAGACGATTTGTAATTAGGTAAAATTATAATTGTGCGAATAATTCACTAATAGATATTTGCTTAGTTTCTGATTTTTTTCTAAAATTAATAAGGACGAATGAAAAGACAAGTATAACGGACCACAATCAATGTGACATATGTTGCCATGATGTGTAAATTAATGGTGCATGTGAGATGTGACAGTGAAATTATATATCTGCCCAAAATATCACCAAGAACAATAAGCAACCACTAATTTATTTACCATTATAAGTATAAAGTCTATAAATAAAACAATTCCCCTAAAATAAGGAACTAATTTTTACACCAAATTATGGCTTATAAATCTGACTTTCTTGGTTTTACATGGGCTGGCCCAGAGATGTTGAAAGTGAAAGATCGATATAAATGAATTGAAAATGGAAACACAAAAGCCAATTTCTCTGGTGTATATATGTACGTAACTAAATATACACATTAATTATCAGCACGTATTATTGCCATTCTTTAAAGTATTGTCTTGTCTATCAGAATGTTTACGTGTCTTAACTTATTATCATTAAAGATATGGGGAAAAAAATAATGACATAATACATAAATATGATTCTTAACTTTTCTTAAGCGGATAATTATGCCCTCCAACTTTGAGTGTGTACAAGTAGACACTTAAACTTGTATAAAATTGAACAAGTAGACACACGTGTCCTACATGGCATAATACACATAGGATGCCATGTAGGACACAAAATTGCCATGTAGGTCGAATGTGTCAATTTGTTCAATTTTATACAAATTTAAGTGCCTACTTGTGCACACTCAAAATTACGCCAAGTTAAAGGTCATGTTTATATGTTATGCCAAAAATAATCTTTACTTTAGCGCACGTAGAAATCATATGCATAAACATTCGTAGGGACCATACAAATATTTTATATTAATTAAAAAATTAAATTCCTCTTGTCTCCGAGTTAGTCAGAAGAAGGCTCCCAAAGAAATAGTTCCCAGTCCGCTTTGACCGGGACACAATGACATGCTCTCAGCTCGTATTAGCAGCTCAAGCAGTCTACCGACAAATAACGGGCTCATCACTAGGACCCTCACAACCCTCGGTGCCAATTTCTCCTCCAAAGTTACAAATTCATTTTGCCAGCTTCTTTTGCCTACATTCAGGGGCGGCTCTTGCTTAGAAAAGTTAAGGCACATGCCTTAGGCCCCCAATTTTGGGAGGCCTCAAATTTTTACCAAGAACAAATTATGTGTTTTTATTTTTATAAAAATAATAATAATTTATAATAAAAAGTATATATATATATATATTATTTTATTCTCCTTAACTCCATTCAAATAGAAGAAATCAAGAAAATGTTGTTTTCTCTTATTACATTTCTAACATTCACATTATTTATTTATTTTAAAACTCCTTTTTCACTCTTTTTCTTCAAATCTTTGATAAGTTAAAGTAATACTCTATTAGAAATCTGAATCATTAGTCGAACAGTGTTGAACAAAGTGAATCGCAATTTTTTTTTTACTTAAATTTTCAAGTTAGGTATATCAAGTTATCAACGTCTTGAATCAGATTCTATGGTTCTAACTCTTATTTTGCTTAAAGTTTGTCAACTTCTTCCTTAGAGAATTATGTTAACAATTCATATAATGATTGCTTTAGTAAAAGGATATTTTTCAACATTGAATTGATAAAATCTTACCTAAAATTAATTAATTTTTTTTTAAAAATTACTCAAATAAATCATCTATTAAAAAGTTGAAGTAATAATGTGCATCTAAACAATTAGAAAAATAATTTTTAAATGAATATGTATGAAATTTTTTAGGCCTCAAAGAAAATTTCGCTTTAGACCCCCAGTTACGTTGAGCCGCCCCTGCCTACATTGTATGAAAAAAAGAGAGACTAAAAGCTGTAATAATCGATATCATATATATAATGTATATGGTTTTTTCACGCAATAAACTAAACAATATACTATACCAAACTACACCTAGAGGAATTGCGCCATCAACCTAACATAACATAGGGTAGTCAGGTGAAACGTCTTTAGTAAAATTTACAATATGTTTAATGAAAATTTAACTTTTGGTACCGACAAAAAGATCATCATAATGGCAATGGATCCAAGTGCACGTGTTAGCTCGTAGACCAGAGAAACTAAAGGTGGATGAGAGTGACGTTTGTCTGCATGCCATCTTTTGTTTTATTGTATCTCATATTAGTATATAATTAGAGAATGGTGTAATTAAGAGATGTAAATGTACGTAGCTAGCAAAAGTAATTATCAACAGACAAGTGATGTATCTATATATGTACGAAAGCAATTGAATGCTCTATTGAAAAGCAAAAAATAAAAGAAGATATCTCATTATCGAAACAGCAAATGCTTGGATTCTTTTGCACGTACTGCAGCCCCATGCGCATGTGCATCTCTTAACTACGTGGGGGCCGAAACTAGGAATTCAATTAACACCAATTTACATCGTATTGAATTTCTTTTAAGAAAACTAACAATTTATATATAACTGAAAATTAATTGGCCAATTACGATCAAGTTCTATCGAAAATTATCTTTTTTGTCTTTTATAAAAATAAGAGAAAGGTCTACTTATTACATCTTCCCTAAATTTCATTTATAAAATTAGGGATATATTGTTTTGTTAATTTGTAAGAAGGAATAAAGTTGACAATATTTTTAGTTTGTTCCTTCAACTTATAATTTTGGAGGAAAAACAAAATGATAAAATTACTCAACAAGCACTTGGATTAATGGACCAAATACCAAAGACGAGTCATCGAGTAACTATTCTTTCTTACGTCCCTTTATGGTCAAAGTGTGTGGGAACTTAGCTAATTAAATATCTTGTGGTCGTGGATTTTATAATGTAAAGATATATAATTTATGTTCCATAAAAATAATAATTTATAACGACTAATTAAGGAGAAATACAAATTAAAAACGAACACAAAATAGAAACGGATCGGAAGTGGAAATGACCCGCAAAGAAGCTGGACTTGCCCATACCGGGCCACCTGATATGGCCCATATCCTTCCTACTTATCCATTGATGAGAAACTTCTTAATTAAAATTGACTTTCCATTCACTAAAGAGATAATAAGTAAACAGAAAGGAGAGATCATGGAGAAGGAACTAAAACCAAATAAATAAATAAATAAATAATCATCAAGATGTATAGTAAAACGAAAAAATATATATTTT